TTTATAAAATGTGGAGAATCTTTTAAGTCCCTTAAAATCCAGGAAAGGAAGAACAGGGGGAAAGAACTAGGGCAACCTAAGCCTTTTGTAACAAATCTGGAGGAGTTTCTTGCAAAATGTGATTAGATATGAACTATGCTTTGTGGTGTCTAAAAGAGTTAGGAGCCTTTGAGTTTAAGGTAGCTGTATCAACCAATGTCAGTGATAACAGCAGTCTGCCATCTCCCACAAGGTTTTTCCCAAACCCCTGGTTTTGCTCTACTCTGGTAGTGGGTTAAAAGAAAATAAACCACCCTCAAAAGTAAGATATTTCTGGCAAAGCCTCAACAGCTGAATTTGGATGGAATGACCCAACAGATGTGATTTATGTTTCTTGTTTTGAAGTTGACCTGTGGGAACTTGGCACCTCTTTGCTTGCAGCGCAGATGTAGCTTTATGGTACACTGGAGCATCAGCAAAGCAAAACCACTGATGTGCTAAAGTGGCAGGAATTTGAAGGCAAGGGGGGTGGCCTTACTTGTCGCCGGGGCGATCAGTCTCCACAAGAGCCTGGCAGTCACAATCCTACATCCATCAATCTGTTTTTTAAGCCCTGTGGACAGCCAAGAACCTCATACCCAGATTTTCCTGAGCCCCAGAGCTGGTGGGTGGCACCTTAGCTAAAAAAAAAAAAACAACACCTTCCAGGAGGAATGCTGTCTTGGGAAGCCAAAATGATACCTCTCTGGGGGAGCGCACAGCTCCAGTGACTGTGAGATTTAGGCAAGTTCAGTGCTGATTACAGTGAGCTTTAAAAGAATCTCTCCTGGTTCTGCTGTTCATAAGCTCTGCAGCCTGTGGGATGGATGCTGCAAGGTGCTGAGCCCTCATCATCGTAAGGAAAACCACTGCACGTTCACAGTGCTGGTAAAAGACTTTCATGGAGCCGTGGAGCTTTAAACCACATTCAGATCAACAGAAATAAAGCAGACTGCTTGGCAAGCCAGCAAATCTACCCTTCACACAGAGAGGCCCTCAGTTTCCACCTTCAAGAGGTCTTTGTAGGTAGGTACAAAGCAGCACCAGTTCCCTGGAGAGTGAAACACTGTCTCTGATGTCTGCTGAGAGCCACTTTGTGGTACGCTGACTGGGCAAGGGCGGGCTCTTGGCTTCTACCAGGAGAGAAGTGAGCATAATACACAGACAAAGCCTTGACTGACAACAGCAAAACCACCAGGAGACTCCAACCCTGTTGGCACCAGTATCGGGGACTTCAAATCATTAGGCCTTTAGGCTGTGCTGAGGCAACTTCAGCAGTATTTCCAGCAGTTACAACACGTCTCTCGAAGCAGGTATTTGCTGGTAGCTAATGATAACAGAGACTCGGGGGTATTTGTCCCTTCTTGCACTGATTAGGCAACAAGTTGGTGCCTGGTATTTTTCAGCTCAGAGAGATCATCGTGCCAGAAATCCTCATAGCTTTTTTTGATGGAGGCTGGTGCTTTGAGGTTGTTTTTCTGCCTGGCTTGAGCTGAGCCATGCAACTCTAATTCTTTTTGCCAGCTGGCTTTGGAGGGCACTGGGTACCACAGTCCTCCTGCTCCAGGTCCTAGCTGGCAGTAAATAGCCTCAGTGTGTGCACTGTGTGCAAAATGAGTTTCAGCCTGCATTCCTGAAGCCACCAACTCCATAAAGAGGCTCTTCTGAACATCTGTGCACAGCTGTGTGACAGCAGTGACAAGAGGGCAGCTCCCCAGCTGTCAGAGCAGCCTCCCCTCCTGTGGAGGGTCCACCAGAAGAGGCACCCCTGTACCTGCCCCTCCAACAGGCTTCTGCTCTGCATCTGAACCCACCCTACCTGCAGCACCTGGGAGCAGGCTTAAGTGTAGCTGCATTTTCACAGGCAGAGAGCAAAGGGACACTCCATTTAAAGGCAATGCTGGAAAACAGATGGTAAACTTCACAGCATCCATCTCCTGCATCCTCAGCCTCGGGATTAGCTACAAAGAGGCTGCTGGGGCACACAGGTAGAGACAGGATGCGGGTAGTGGCTCCCTGACAGGGAGCAGCGCAAACCCAGAGTCAGCTGTGAGTGCAAGTGTAAGGGCAAAGTGGAACCTCAGCCAGGAGAGAGCACCATGGCATCACTGCTTGCTCCCCCAGAGCAAAAAAGCAGGCAGTTTTGCCATACCCTGCTGGCACAGCACAACAGCAGCCAGGCAGCTTCAAGGAGCTGGCAATCAAGTAGGGTACCTTTTTCCAGACATCCCCAACACTCCTACTCACATGCAACCCACTCCATAAAGGGCTGACTGGATCCCTGCACTTGCCAAGTGCATGTATATCCAGGGTTATTTCCGTCCTTTCAAATTCTTCTCAACTGTGTCTTCCTTTGCCCTCCAGCAGGAAGTTTTGGCTGCAGCGGAAGTACCTTTTTCTGTGTGGCTGCATGATTTTTGTACAAAGGACACAGACATCACATCTGAGAAGTCTGGGAAACAACCAAGGACAAGGTCAAGGCAAATTATGCAGGGCCAAGGATGGGCTTCTTCCTTTTGCTTTTTAAAAACAAAAGAAACATCCAATCGGGCATGCAAAACAAGCCTTCCATCTCCAGGAATAACAAAAAACAAACAAACAAACAAAAACAAACACTTCCCCTGTCCCAAAAAAGAGCAATCAAACACAGTTATGATCCACTGCTGGAAACATATTTTTCTGGATCTCTTCTCAGAGATGCCCTTGAAAGGCTGCTCACTCTTGCACCCAAAGGATATAATCCTTATAGTCCAGAGAGGGAAAGCAGACATTTCAGAGCCAATCTGCCACAAGCAGGAAGCCTAAGTGCCCTGTCACCCAAGAACTTCGTTCTCTGCAAAGGGTTGCACGCAAATGACTGATGCAGGATCCTGCCTGTTTGTGGTCTCCCTGTGCAGGATTCCAACCCAGATACTGCCTTAAGGACATCACATCCATTTGTAGTGGAAAATGGCAAAAGCCAGTACTTCCACTCATTGACTCCCACAGCATCCAGGTTCTTCTAGAAACCCAGAAAACTGCTCTCTCCTATCTGGAAAGATATTGGAAAAGGCTCTAGGCTCTGTGGGGATGATGGGATGGATGTTCTCTCCTGTCATTGTTTCAAAATCTGTGCAGAGATTACAACTCCCCCACCCCTTCCCACCGAACAGTCCTAACTGCCAGGAGGCCCTTAGGGCTACAGAAATACTTCCAGATGTCTACCACGTGTGTGGGATGAGTCCCTGCTTCTGCTGCAAGTCACAGAGCAACGCATATCACTAGAAGGTGGTCCATGGCACAAGAAAGGTTCATGCAGCTGAGGGAAATCTCAGAAGAGTTGGTTCCACCACCACTGCTGAGCAGCCCACATCCATCCTGCTGCCTTCCCTGAGATGCTGGGTTAGAGCTCTCCCAGCAGCAGGAGCCAAAAGAAGAGTGGTTCCCCAGAGTGATGGAGGAGGGGACATTTTGGCAGTGGTTCAGCACCACGTACTCCAATGATGTTCTTAAACAACAGGAAACAGCCTGTTTGAGGCTGGCACGTCAGTGGCCTCCCAACATCCTCTGCCCAGCAGCTCATGTTTGCACTGACCTCATCAAACTCATGTCTCCAAGCCCCACCAAGTTAAGCCAGAACGCAGTGTGGGATGAACACAGGGAAGTGCAGTCAAGGGTTGGGATAGTATCTTAGGAATATTAATACCTGTTCTGCAATGAACTCCCATTTGACTTTGGGAAAGACAAGTGAGAACACAGCCCTCTTCTCAAGTACACACCTGAAGCATGACCTCAGAATCTTTCAAGCCCATCTGCTCACATGTCTGGGCCAGCAGGACCAAGTTGCACAGATCTTTAGGACTGCTTTTTAGGACTGCTGTGACCACCCCCTGAGTCCACTGGGCAGAAAAGTCTCCTTCCAAATAGCAGACAGAGGCACAGAGTGAGACCATTCTCATCTCACCCCACATTACCCTGAGAGCTGAACTCCTTCCCTCCAAGAGTTAACACGTACCACAATGTTTCTGGCTAATATGTAACCCTGATGTTTTGCACAAGGTTTGTGAAAAGCCACACAGGCCATTTAATGGGCAACATCAAAGTCCATAACCTAATCCTTACCCAGCCTTTCATGCCTTCCTTGGGAGTTTCAGAAACATTTTTTTTGCAAGCATACTTGGCCTCAGTTATGGGAAGAAAGAGAGGGAGGAGGTGGAGGTTGTGACCTGCACATACTGTGTTTATGAAAACGCTCCTCCACCAAAACAGCACTGGCGCTGCAATACTGTCCTTGAGACGTTCAGTAAGTATATTGTTTGCCTGCTGTGTCCCATCCCTCCTTCCCTCCCTCCTAGACAAACGCACTCTCAGAAGCCAGAATTTCTAGTAGAGGCTTTGTAGCAGAACAATTTCTTCCTTGAGCACCATCCCTAAGAAAAAAGCTCAGGATGAATCAAGCTCCTGGTTGGAAATGTTGCAAGCGCAAACCACTACGTGCAGCTCACAGGAAAGTCACTGCTTGTTTTCATTTTGAACCAGAGAATGCTGGCTCTGAATTTCTGTGGTTTTCACATCCATTTATCATTTCCTTTCCTCGCAGTTTGCAACTTTCCTGGGCAGAACCCTCCCCTGGACAGCTCAACCCTTTTGTCCCATCTCCCAGCAGGGCAAATTGCAACCTGCAAGGCAAAAGTACGAAAAGTGGGGCCGCGTAGCTCCAGCACCGCTGGAAGCCAACAGCGAGCGCCCAAGTTCCTCCGCACTTCTGTGGCTGCTCTGAAGTGTCACTCCAAGTTTAGGCAGCGCCACCCGACTGGGACTCTCCGGTCCATTTAAGGTGGGTCTGAACTCATCTTCACTCTACAAATAAGCACCCCCGATGAAACCAAACAGCGGGAGGAGCACTCGGGAGGCGCAGATTTTTTTTTTTTCCCCGTGCAGCCGGGCGGCTGTAGCGGAACATCTCCCCCCCCTACTCCCGCACCCCGCTCCCTTCCCCGCACCTTGCTCGCAGGCTCCCTTGCTGCGCTGGCTGATGGCGGGCTCCCCGCGGCTCTGTGCGCGCAGGCTGGCGGCGCGGAGCTGGCAGCCGCTGCCGTAGGTGAGCCCGTCGCTGCCGCACACCGGGTAGCGGCTCTTGCAGAGGCACACGCCGGTCGGGCCGGCGGCGGGGAGCCCCGGTCCGCTCTTCGCCTTGCGGCGCTGCCGGCTCTTCACGCACTCGAGGCCCGGAGCGCAGCGTCCTCCCGCGGCCCCGCACGCCTCGCCCTCGCCGCGCCCGCACTGCCAGCAGCACCCGCAGGCGTCCCGCACCCGGCCCAGCGGGCACCCCCGCGCCGGCAGCGCCGGGCACAGCGCCGGCTCGCAGGGCCCGCAGCCCCCCGCTGCCGCCGCCCCCGCCGGGGCGGGCACCGCCAGCGCCGCCAGCAGCGGCGGCAGCAGCAGCAGCAGCATCGCGGAGGGCGGCATGGCGGCACGGCGCCGCCCGCCCCCGCCACCCGCTTTAGCCGCCGCCGAAGGGGGAAACCCCTCCCCGACGGCGCCGCCCCGACCACGGCCACGGCCACGGCCCCGGCAGCGGGGCCCCGCCGCCCTCCCGCGGCCGCAGGACCCTCCGTGCGCCGCCGGCCCGACCCCTCCGTGCGCTGACCTCTCCCGGCTGCTCCCCCGCTCGGCTCTGGTGTCGCGTCTGTCCCCTCGCTTCTTCTTTCCGCGGAAAGGGACTCGGGGGTGGTGGTTGACAGCCGGCCCAGTGTGAGCCAGCAGTGGGCCCAGGTGGCCAAGAAGGCCGATGGCATCCTGGCCTATATCAGCAATGGTGTGGCCAGCAGGACCGCGGAAATGATCATCCTCCTGTACTTTGGCATCGGTGAGGCTGCACCTTAAGCATTGCGTTCAAAAAGCATTGATTTCAAAAAGGACCTTGAGGAGCCGGAACATGTCCAGTAAAGGGCAACAAGACTCATGAAAGGTCTACAAAATGTGTCTTATGAAGAACAACTGAGGGAGATAGATTTGTTTAGTCTTGAGGAGACACAGGGGGGACCTCGTTGCTCTCTACAAGTACCTGAAAAGAGGTTATAGTGAGGTGGGGGCCTGTCTCTTATACCATACCTGCAGTGATAGGACCAGAGGAAGTAGCCTTAAGCTGAGACAGGGGAGATTCCAACTGGATATTAGAAAAAATTATTCACTGTTAGGGTGGTCATACTTTGGAATTGGTTGCCCAGGAAGGTGGTGGAGTCACCATCCCTGAAGGCGTTTAAGAGGCATCCGGATCTGGCACTGAGTGAAATGGTTTAGTGGTTTAGGGGTTACAGGGGTAGTGCTGGGTGGATGATTGAACTTGGTGATCTTAAAGATCTCTTCCAACCTTGATGATTATATGATTCTTGCCACCCACCTGTGCTTGGCTCACAGCCATCGGCTGCAGGGGGCTGGAGGGGCCCTGGCGAGCCCATTGGGTTCCTGCAGGAGTGGAGATGAAGAAGAAAAAGATAGCTGCCTAGTTTCTCTTGTACATGCTGGAAACAACACTGTTGCCTGCTGCCACCTTTTACCTTAGCTTGTGACTCCTGCCCCGGGATGCCTGCTGAAGGGTCCCTGAGGGTGGAGGGCTGTTGCCACCAGCAGGAACTGGGAATATTCCTCAGACAGCACTGGGTGATGCTTCTGGATTCTGTCAAAACTCCCTCAAAGTGCCAAAGTGCCAAAATTCCCTCAAAGTGCCAAACCGAAAAAAGCACCACAGTGCTGATAAACCCCTCGGGTGGGGGCAGCAGGGCAGCACAGGGTGCTCTCTCTGGCCTTGCACTCATTTCCTGCCCTTGGGCCTGCTTGTGCTTTCAGGAGCTGCATCTCTTGCAGGACGGTCCAGGACAATGCTCAGCATTGGTTCTGCCAGGGCCTGTGTGACAAGTGCTGCTTTGGCACTCCAGGGTGGAGAAGGACAGCGGTAATTGTTGTCCCTCGCTGTGAAACTGAGGGATGCAGCACTGCCCTATATGGGTTGTGTTGCCTAAAAGGTTGCAGAGGAAAAAAGACTCCAGGCCAAATTAGGTAGGTAGGAGGTAAGATAAGCAGCAGAGGTTTTAATGAGCCACCAGGCTCCAGGAATACAACCCACGCGGGCGTTCTCTCGAACACAGGTGCTACAATCTTTATAATTATTTCCATCCAATCCCCGCCTGGCCATCCGCCCGTTTCTGTCCCCAGACACGCCCTTCAGGAATTGAGTCTGGGGGAGTTTTGGGACCCTCTCTTCCTCATCTTCATCTTCATCAAAGCACGTGCAGTTCTTGGAGGCTTTCCAGGGCTCTGGTCTTGAAGGTCGTTGTGTCTATGTCTATATCTTCTTGTGCAGATTTTAGGATGTTCTCTACAGTTATACCTTTAAAATGGGACTAAACAGGATGGTGGAATTTAGGGGGATTGATATGGGAATTAGGTAACAGGGTTGGCTATGTGTAACTACTGTGTTAAGGGTAAGGGATTCAATGCAGCTACGTTAAAATCTATATTCACTACACAACTACTTCTAAAATCTATCAAAATTAAAAATTAAAAAATCAAAAACTCTAAGGCAACAGTTGCGAGTGGCTGAGCCCTGCTGTGTGGCCCCCAAGTCGACGCATCCCTTCCCATGCAAAGAGCAGCTGGAGCTGTGACTCAAGACAGCTAAGAGAGTCTACAAGTTCCCTGTGCTCCCAAATTTGCTCTGGAGGGATTGACCCACTCATGCCTGTTCAGCTGCTGACTCTGTGGGAACAAGCTCCCACCGCATGCTTCCTAGGCTCCCTGGGGCCCAGCATGAGACATTCCTCTGTTTCTCCTGAGACCATGGTATTTGCATACATGTCCTTGGATTTCTCCATTCCTCTCTGGAAGGGCTCCATGCTATTCTCCCGGGCGAAGGGCTGCCCTCATAAGCAAGCAGTACACCAAACTCAAGAAGTTTGACATATTTTGTTGTTGTTGTGCTGTGTTGTGTTTTGCTTTAGTTTGTTTTTTATGGGTAATTCACTAGAGAAGTGATGAAAAGGGGGTGAAATGTACAGAGGGACACATCGTCCAACCCAGTTCTAGTTACAAAAAACATTTTGCATATTTCACCTCTTTCCTTTATCTCCTGCCAGTTGCTGGGCGTCTCCTTCATGGACCCCCAGATTCTTGTTGGTTAGAGTATCACAAGCCCTGATACTCTTAAGCTGAGAATGGCAGGGTGTTTAATTAACCAGAGCAAGCTTTTCTGACATGTCGCTATCAGCATTCCACTCAGTAGGAGGAAAACTGTAGCTCCGAAAGGAGGAAGGACGTCGACACATTTCCTTTCCTCTCCCCCCCTCCCCGCTTCGAATCTTTTCCTTTCCATGCCAGACTGCAGGCAGTGCCCTTGCCTCTCTTTGGAATAGTTTTTCCTCGCAGGGAGGAGGCCTTAGTTCATGCTTTGGTGCAGAAGGACCTCTAGTGTCCCTTCGCAGTTCATGCTTTGGCATCACCGCTCTACGCTCGGTATTTCTCCACCTCAGGACCTTCGCAGGTACTGTGGAAGGAGACAAGATGCGCGTAGTACCTGTAGGGCAGTGGCTGGGAGAGACAAGGCTGGGTTGCTCCTCCCTAGGCAGAAGTCAATTACTCTGAGCAAAGCTCACCTCGCTTTGCTTCCACAGCTCCTCTGCGGCTCCTCCACATCCCTTTTTCTTCACCCCGGGGACCTCCAGGTGCCTTTTTGTTCACCACAGGCTGCTCCATTTAAATACATCAGATGCTCCTGCTGTCCCAGTAATGAATTTTCCCCTGTGTTTCAGTGAGGGCCAGTATAAATATGTAGATTTGTGTTGTGCGTCTTGGGACTTTACTTGTAGAGTTCCCCACCAAAATCTGTGCTTAGTATGCAGCAGCATAAATTTTTCTTAAGCAGATTTAATTAAAGTTATCAGTGGCAGCTATTAGGAATAAAACAAAAGTGCTCTTATGTGTTTGGATCCGTTTCATCATTCATTCCTTATTTCATCACCAAGATGGTCCTGCATTCATCACTCCAGTGAGACAGTGTGGGAGGTGGGGCAGGCTGGGTGGCCTTTCCTGGTGGAGGAAGAAGTGTCCAGGGTCTCTGAAGGCGGGAGGAGATTTGGCAGACAAAAGTAGGGACTATGGGAGAATGGAAGCCGACAGCTTTTAGATGTTGGTGTATTTCCAAATCGAGCGTTTCACTTGGTGTTAGACTTCTCCCAGCCAAGCAACTCCTCCGGATTTGCGCTAGCTCTTACTTGGGATACAGTTGAGCAGCAAAGTAGATCTATCGATTCTCTACAGGATGGACACGGGTGGGTCGCTCTGCGAACTGAGTAATGAAGTCAAACGGGTGCCTTTTCCACATGGAAGACCCTCGCCTTCTGGTTTCCCCTCTCGTCCCACCCGGGCAGCAGCCGTCTCCGCAGGCTGAGGAGAGGCGGGAGCCCACCGGAGCCCAGCAGCTCACGCCTCTCCAGCGCAGAGCTGGAAAGCTCTGGAGCTTCCCCGCTCCGGACTCTGCGGTGCCGGGCATCCCTTCTGCTCCTCCTCCCTCTGCAGCGGTCTCTGCCGAGTTTCGGTTTCCATTTCTCCGCCGGGGCGTTCCCGGCGCAGTCTCGGGCTCTCCGGAGCTGTACATCGGTCGGCCGGTGAGGGATGGCAGCGAGACAGCGGCGGGAGCGGCGGCGGGGCCAGGAGAGAGGCTCGAGAGGTACCGACCGGCGCTCAAGTTGGAATAATCTGCTGTGCGACCCCTTGGGGAGGGCAGCCTCTGCTTAAGGGACTTAAACATGTCCCAGTGAGCAGCACTCGGAGCGGGGGGTGTGGAAGGAGGAAGACCATGCCGGGGAATAGACAGAAATTTTCCTCTCTAGTTCCATGTTGGGGGTGTGAGGAGGGTGTGCAGTGAGACTCCAGAGCTGTAAGGGAAATCAGAGCAGGCTTTACCGGTGACTACCTTTCACGCTTGGACATCCTGGGTCTCAGACACTTGTGCTGCTGCAGGGCTACATGCGAGTAGAACAGGTGCCTCAGGATCAGGAAAGGATCCGAAGCCCCTCAGCTGTAGACAAGGAGGGACTTCCTTCTGCTCTAAATAGTCAGTGTGTGAATTTTTCATCATTGCTTCTCCAGTGTCACATAAAACGTTTGACTTGAGGTATCCTTAAGGTGGTGACAAATCTGGGGTGGTCAGATGCTTCAGGAAGTGCTTTGTTTCCCCCAGGCGCTCTCAACAGATGTGCAAAAGTGACTCACTCTGCTTGTGCTGACTGGTTTCACTGGTAGTCGTGGGGGCTGGTTGCACAGCAGCCTGAGAGATGGGGAAAGGTCTTTTAGTGGTAGCCAGGAGAGTCATCCAGTATGAAACCGAGCAGTGGGTAGGCAGGACACGGAAACCCAAAGGAGCCTGAGAAAATAAGTCATACACACTTGTCTGACTTTTTCCTGAGAAGTAGAAGCTGT